ATCCCACAGTCCAGCTGAAGGAGGAAAAACCCAGCAAACAGGTCACAACCTGTTATACATCTGATGAAAACTCATCCAGCAGATGCCGAGACCACATTCAGAGGAGCCTGGTGTGCACTCAGATCTGGGTTGCATGGAAGGGGGGTGTGCCCGAAGCAGCTCTCACATTTCAGACACAGCCCACATTTAGCAGCAAGGATACAGAATACAAGACATCGAGTTCTTCCTCATGCGCACCGCTATTGATAGGCATTTCCAAGTCTGTTGTTATGGAGCACTTCTCTCACTAGGGAGAGCACTAGCAACACGTTCCTGCAAGCTGATGACTGGGGATTTCTTCTATGGGGAGCTATTACCAAATCAGTAAATTCTTACATCAATGACTCTGGTGGGAGCTGGAGAGATGGCTCAGTAATTAAGAGACTGCGGTTATTCTTCCACGGAACCTGGTTTGACACCCAGCTCACAGCCATCCAAAGTTCCATTTCCAGGGATCCGATGCCCTCTCTGGCCTCTGCAGGCAGCAGACACAAACACGGCACAGATGTCCATAGGGGCCCAACCCCCATAGAGACAAGTGACCGTGTTTTTAAACAGGTGACTCTGGTACAGATGCCTGTGTTTCTAAGACTGACAGAGGCAAGGAAGAAAGGAGAACACAGGAACAAGAGCCCGTGCCTGCCTCTTTCCTGGAACCGTAGGAGCCAGTGCTCCTGATCCCTCCTCCTCACAGACAAGCAGATGGACCTGACAGAGAGCCGGCAGGACGGATGCCACTTGTGGGGTGGCCAAAGCTGACATACATCCAGGGTACTTAGGTCCTTCTCAAAGATGTAGGGTCGTCTGGTTATCTAGACACTTCAGGAATGGATGAGAACGTGGAAGAGATGGTAGTCTGGCAGATCTAGTTGGCAGTTTTACAGTCTTACAAGGTATCCTTTTAGGCTACTTAATGCTTTCAATTACTAAGCACAAGTGTGTTAGTCTTTCAGCACAGTGTTGGCTATATACACGTACATCTCTTTCAGCTGGTGCTGCAGGGATAACTGGCTCACTAGGCCAGACTGTTATAGCCAGTACGGACAGAGTTACAGTGTTTTCTTGACTGTGCCAGCAATCACTGCCCAGGCTAGGGTGTGATTCAGTGGTAGAATACATGTTCCCATGCACAAGGCCCAAGTCCAATTTCCAGTACCAAACAGCAATAATACCACTGATAATACTTACCATGATTTTTCTTCCTTTGAACTCCAGAATAATACATGATCTTCCCACTTCCTGCCCAGCACCGCTGCAAACATTCAAAGGGAGAAATAAAATGATTAGAAAGCCATTAAAGCAGTCCAAAGCTGGGTTTGGTGGCACATCTACAGTGCCAGCGCTAAGACTACAGTGGGTAAATGAGTGTGCAGTGAGCCCGTCTCACTCCCGCCAGTAATATTCAACACAGTAAATTCTCTCTTTCACAAGCTCCTGGACTGGCTTTCTTCCTGGAATGCTCTGCTCTTGGCTACTGACACGACGGTCTCCTTTAGATCATCTGGGTCTCAGCTCAGGTTTCACCTTCTCAGACCCTTTTTCAACTTCCCACTCTGATGTACCTTTTATTGCATGCCTCAATCTGCCACCCCACATCACTGCGGCATAACACAGATACTTTTTTTTTTTTGGTTTTTTTCAAGACAGGGTTTCTCTGTATTGTTTTGGAGGCTGTCCTGGAACTCGCTCTGTAGACCATGCTGGCCTCGAACTCACAGAGATCTGCCTGCCTCTGCCTCCCGAGTGCTGGAATTAAAGGTATGTGCCACCAACGCCCGGCCAGATACATTTATTTATGGCGTATCTCACATATTAAAATGGCAGCTCTATTAAGAGACATGTCTATCTTGTTCACTTGTGTTCTGCTATGGCATCTGAAATGTTTGCCAAACTCCCAAACTTAGAAACGCTATGCTAAGTGAAAGAAACTAAGCACAAAGGGCTCATATTGTATGATTCCATTTATATGAAATGTCTCAAAAAGGCAAATCCACAGAGATTGATGGTCGCTGAAGACTAGGGAGGGTGGGGGGAAACGAGTGTGATTCCTAATGGGCTCTTTTTTAAAAAAAAGGGAGGGGGGAGTAATGAAATGCTCTGGAATTAGGTACTGCAGTTGTAATAGAGGTTATATAATCCCTCAAGTACACTAAAATCATTGAAGCTGATCGTGATGGCGCACATCCTGTCATCCCAGCACCGGGGACACTGAGGCAGGAGAACTGTCATGAGTTCATTCCAGGCCAGTGTGGGCTACACAGCCTGACCCTATGTCCAAAAAACAAACAAGCAAAAAGCCACATCCCAAAGCACGCACCGGACCGCACAGCTTTAGAAGCTGACTTTCCCGGCTGCACTTCTGCCCTCCTGCACTGGCTACTCAAGGATTCTGGAATGTACCCCCTGTGCTCCATGACTACCCCTTCAGATAACGTCCGAGCACCTATAAAATGCTCAGGACTTTATGTGTGAACTCTGGAAACCCAATTCTTCCTAGCCCGTCGCCCTCACCCTGCTGGCTGGTTATAGGCCCTCATCACTCCGAACTGGTCCAGGTCAGCGACACCCTGCCAGGGTCTCTTCATTTAGTCTATCTTTTCAGTCATCTCCCGCCCTGGGATTTTTCTTCTTGTCACGACACTGATTGAAGCAAACAACACATGTTGCCACTTCACCCAAACGTGACGCTTTTACTCTGCCCCTTCTTGACGGCTCAGTGGGTCACTAGCAAAAGACCCACGGAGTGCTTTTAAAGGGGGTTGGGGGTGGCCGCAGTCTAATGTAACTCCTACGATGTTAGAGTTGCTTCAAATCCCTTGTTGGCCCCCTGTAACTGGTGTGACAAATATTCACTTTTTTTTTTTTTTTTGATTTTTCGAGACAGGGTTTCTCTGTGGCTTTGGAGGCTGTCCTGGAACTCGCTTGGTAGTCCAGGCTGGTCTGGAACTCACAGAGATCCGCCTGCCTCTGCCTCCCGAGTGCTGGGATTAAAGGCGTGCACTACCAACGCCCGGCGACAAATACTCACTCTTTAATATCTACAAAAGGTCCTTCACAAGGTGGATCCTGATAGCCTGCCCCAATTCATCTGCTCTCTGTTAGCCACGAGCTGGGACCACTCCCATGTTCCCCTGGGACACTCTGGCTCCTACACGGTCTTTAATTTCTGTGAATTCTTTAACACTTAGGTCGCACATCAATCGTATTTCCAGGATGCATGAGATATCCTTGCCTCAATCTGTTAGGAAGCCCCATCTCCAGGCTTTCTGGCCCTTGAGGCAATGCCTACCTGCCCTCTTGTAACAGGTGTCTAAGGGGCATTATATACTGAGCCTTAAGCTTTCTCCCCCACAAGGAGTGTTGTTTACGCATGAGGAAGTGGGTTTGTGGCGGTTACTTCCCTACCATAGAGAAACACTGGATTTCCGGTTTGCCTCCTCAGTAGCTGTCTCTTGTTTTCACAGACTCATTCCAGCACTCCCAAGTCGGCTCTACAATCTCACCAAAGGAGTTAAATCATGAACTCAGCCCGTGCCTGGTGAGGTATTTGATACTTGCTTATTGTATATAGGGGGACAGCAGGGACACTTGGGTGCAATCATTCGGTAAGTGCTTAGTAAATCTTACTGATGGATGGGTAAAGGAGCTAGTTTCTTGTGAAAGATGCACACTTTCATGTGGTGCTAGCCAGTCTCTAAAACCGAGCAATAATCGTGAGTTCTGTCAAACCGCGCATCTGTACCAAAGCATTCTCCACCTTTACACGAGTGAGGCAATTCTCTGCAAACGTTCCAGAATCCTGAAAGCCATTTCCACTAAAGCCAGTCTTCTACGGTAACGTAGCGCTGAATCTCTCCCCGTGACACCCCTGCTTTCTCCTCTGCAATTTCCTCCCACCTTCTGCCAAGGTCTGAGCTCTGAAGGTACGCACTCGTACCTCGTCTTTATTACCCCGGGCATCCGAGCACGTGTGGGATCCCGGAGATAATTTAGACAAACACAGCCCTTCCTTGCACTGTCCCCCTCCACATGCCGGTTCCCTCAAGGCGTGACCTGATGTGCGAGATCCAGGCTCAGGCTAATTGGCAACCTTTTCTTTATGAAAGCGCCCAGTGACCTGGATTTTTTTTTCTAACGCCGAAATAGCCTCCCCTGAGACCGAAGGAAAAGTAAGATGACATTGAACCTAGCAGGCCCCTCGATCAACATTCTCTAAACCCCGTGAGCCTGGGAGGCCGGACCCGCAGGAGGCGACCCCTCCAGGCTCACACACATCCGGGACCTTCGCTCCCTCTCCAGCTCGTCCCTTACAGGGGTCGGATCAGCAGCTGGTCGCTCTCCTCTGCAGGGATCGCGGACATCCTGGCAGTCTCAGGAGCGGCGTGGACCAGAAACCCGTCGCCGCAGCCTCTAAACCGAAAGCAGAGCCACGGCGAGCAGAGAAGGTAAAAGCCGCCGGCCACCCACACAAAACTTCCGGCGCTCCAGTGCGCCCAGAGCTGGGCTCGTCCCTCCAACTTCCGGTCGGAGACCACGGTCCCTCAGGTTCCGCTCGACGCGGTTAGAAACCGCAGGCGGCGCCTAAGGACTGCGCCAGCGCAGAACTGGGGCGTGGCCTAGCGGACCTGGGCGGGAGACTTGGCAAAGCTGGAGCTGGATTACGAACCGGAGGAGCCGCCCGGCCGCCGCTGCTCGACCATCACACACCCTGCGAGGCGCGGGAGGCCCGGGGACGAACCCAGGCGGCGAGGTGAGAACCGGGCCGGGCGGCGGGAGCGGGAGGGGTCCCCCGGAGCCCGCCGTCCTCCACCCCTGGTCCCGCGGCGGAGGCACCGACTGAGTGCAAACCGGGGAGAGGAAGAGGAGCCTCGGTGCCCGGTCAGGGAGGGACCCGTGTTCCCGTGACAGGTCCACCGCCCTCCTCCCCGGGGACCAGGCTCAGCAAGGGCCCTGAGGCCTCCCTAGGATTGCTGCTGCACCCCGACACTGGGGTTGGCGTTGGCTGACTGCACCCCCACTTGTGCGAGCATGTGTACCAAGAGCTTTGGAAGCCTGCTCTTGTCTGGGTCCCCAAGTTAACTTTGTGATGTGGGGCAAGTTATCGAATCTCTGGTTTAGCTGCTCGCGTGAGCGCATCTGGGCGTTCCCACTACCCCGGAGGCGCAGATGACCCGGGGTGCGGGGAGCGGCTGCTCCTCCTGGGCTGGGGTGAGGGCTCTCGGTTTCTGGAGCGCCTGGTACTGCGTTTGGCGACGTTGGATGTTTAGTATTAGTTGTATTTTGCATATCATCTCCCAAGGTAATTCTCAGAACCCTCCACTAGCCTGTCTATCCACTGAGAGCAACCCCAGCCCCGCCTTGAACTAGTTAGCTGAGAGAGTCAGAGTTGTAAGTAGAAGGTAGTGTATTTTAATGCTGTAATCTGATGTCCATTCCGGCTGCGGATCCTTTAGTCCAACTTGGAAATCCAAGGAAGACTTTCTTAGAGGAGGCCTGAAGGGAGTTGTGAGAGACAGGTAGTTGCCAAGAGACATAAAACGAAGAAGAGTTCTGTGGGAGGGAAGCACACACAGCGCACTGCTGAGAACCAAGGCGGCTTTACGTTCCTGACAGATGGACTGAGTGTGGCTTAAGAGTGGGTGGAGAGTCTGGAGTGTCTTGCCGGAGATATTTGACCTTCTTTAGTCCGTTACCGTGGGGATCTAGCGAAAGCTTTCCAGCAGGCTCTCTGGACCTGGGTTTGAAAGACATCTTTGTCATCTTTTTGCCTAAAATGTGAGGGCAGATCTTGGAGCTTCGAGTCCTGTAGGACAAGATCATGTAACCAGAGAGCTGGCTCAGTGGTGAAGAAACTTTACTGCTCTTGTTAAGGATCCGATTTCGGTTCCAAGCACCCATGTCCAGTGGCTTAACCACCAGTCCTGGGGGGGGATCCTGCTCCTACACAGTTTTTTTTTTAATTTTGTTTTGTGTTTTGCTTTTTTGTTTTTTCTAAGGTAAAGACTTTATCCACAATTTCTTCAGTGGTGTTGTGGGTTCCTTACATGTGTCAAACTGTGTAGCTGGGCATTTTCTAGGTTGAGATTCATCATATTCGTACTGAAAAGAATATTAATCCAGCAAAGATGTGGGGCTGGTTTCAGAGCCGAGGCGGAGAGCTCTGCAGTGCACTCTGGGATCTTGGTGCTTAATTGGATGGGGAGGCTGAAGAGCGATGAGGGATTGATGGTTTTCTGGTTTCTATCAGTGATGGCTTAATTGCCCGAGTAGGAGAGATGAGGGAGGAGCATGTCTGGAGGGATGGTTTTGCATTTGATGAACCCATGTAACATCTAGCTGTGACAGACAGCATCCCCCAGCTCATTTTTATGTATGAATAATAATTTAGATGCAAGAATAATTTGCTTAAGTACATGCATCCAGAATAGCAGTAGATACTAAAGACTAACCAATTCTTTTCCATTCAAGTTCCTGGATTGGTGTTGGGAGGCAAGTTTTGAGACGTTGCAAAGGTCATAGTGTTCAAACCATTGCCAAGGGTTTGTGGGTATGCTTCAGGATTCTACTAACAATAGAATCAGATTTTATTTTTAAGTAACTTTTAAAATTAATATGTAAGTATTCATTTATACTGTAATCATATCTCCACATCTAATGGTTTCTGAATCCTTAGATTCAAACAACCCCAGATACTCATTGGTTTAATGTTTGGTTTTTTGAGTCATGGCTTCTCTGTAGCCCTGGCTGTCCTGGAACTCACTCTGTAGATCAGACCGCCTGCCTCTGCCTGCCCTAGGACTAAAGGCGTGCACCACCAAGTCCCTGCGCCAGATTTTTAAAGCTGTATTGTGAAAAGAAGACCAACATTCCACTGTACCAAATAAGTGGAACCCTTTTCCCTTATCATTATTTTCTAAATAATACACCATACCAACTATTTCTGTAGCACTTACATGAGATATAATGCGAGAGTGCTTGCCTAGTTAAACTAAATAATTTAGAGGTGATTTAAAGTGTATGGGAGGGTGTGTGTAGGTTATAGGCATTTTTGTGCAGTTATGGAACTGATCCTCTGTAGATACGAAGAGGTCTGCACTGAAATGTAATGTGTCTAAGGCTGTCATCAACCGGCACTTTAACTATCACAGGCTACTCCATGGTGCTGCTGAGTCAACCGAGTTTGGCACAGGCTTGGGGATAAGGCTCTCCTGCCTTCAGTCCCTGACCGCAGAGTCTTGTTGTGGAGTTTTCCTCGGCAGCGGCTTCTGCACAGTAGTCGGATAATCTTTCACTCCCTTTGCTCTCACCCCAGGCAGTTAGTTCCATTGTGGGCGCCCAGTGAGGGTCCATAAAGCACAAATCTGGCCATGTCCTTTACTGCCATGGAAACACCGCTACAGACTGTTACAACTCATACCATGCTTTCTTGTGGCCCGCCTGGGCCCGGACACTCTCCCCCGCCCCGCCCACCCTTTTCTCTTCTAGTTTTCCTCATGGGAATGATTGTTCTCTAATAGTTGGGTTTTTCTTATTGATCTACTCACCCCCACTAAAACCGGACACACAACACCCCCATCCGGCACAGCCACCCCCCAGGTCAGCTTTGTCCTTGTGCCGTGGGTCCGCTAGGTGCTTACTGCCTGTCTTAGAGTTTCTAGTGCTGTGAGGAGACACCATAGTCATGGCAACTCCTATAAAGGAAAACATGTAACTAGGATGACTTGTTACAGTTCAGAGGTCTCGTCCATCATTGTCATGGTGGGGCATGACAGTGTTCAGGCAGACATGGTGCTGGAGAAGTAGGGGACAGTCATACATTTTGCAGGCAACAGGAAATGGTCTGAGACACTGAGCAATATCTTGAGCATGGGAGACCTCAAAGCCCGCCTCCACAGTGACACACTTCCTGCAACAAGACCACACCTCCTAATAGCGCCACTCCCTGTGGGAGCCATTTTCTTTCAAACCACCATATTGCCTACTGAGTGACTGAGTCAGCCCTTCTTGTTACAAATAAAGTGAGCACGGAGAAGAAGACTGGGTGAGAAGCTGACTAAGTTCTCACACTCAGGCCGCCATGACAGGTGGTCTGAGAGTGGGTTCTACAAGAGCAAGCAGAAGGTCCGAGCTTGTTTCTAGTCCTCTACTCACTGTCGGTTTTCTCCCTCTGCTAGGTCCACTGTTCAGCCGGGAAAGGATCGTGGCATTGGGGAAGGGAAGCTGTGCTGATCGCTGTGAGTAGAACCTTGGAGAACACCACAAGTGTTTGTTTGGGATAAGCATGATGTGTAGCAATCGGGTTTTGGTAAAACGTGTTAGGATTGCCTCATCAAAAACTCCAAGTTGAAAACTGAGTCAAGATTCCCTCATCCACGAATGTAGACTGTACCTCCCCCCCCTCCTTAAGCCCCTCCTCTTTCTTGTTGCAGGGAGGTGAGGAGCTGACACCTGGGAGTGCTTTTTATGTCACCTTTTTACTTAAAGGCCTGTCCCATGAAAAGAAAAATGCACATTTCACCAGGCATGGCAGTCCCTGCCTTGTCATCCCAGCTCTTGGGAACTCAGACAAGAGGATCATGAGTTCAAGTTTAGCCTGGGCTAATGCAAGATTCTGTCTCAAGGGGTGGGTAAAAGGACATGGTGGTTCATGCCTATAATCTCAGCATCCTAGAGGTAGAGGTGGGAAGGTCAGGAGTTTGGGTCATCCTAGGTCATAAATTGAGTTCAAGGCCAGCTTGGTCTGAGAGACCATGCCTCAAAAAATAAGAGCAGCAACTGCTCTTCACCATTGAGCCAACACTCCTGTTTGTTTGTTTTTTGGTAAATTGTATATATGCATGTATATATGTAATTTGTATGTATGTATGTTTCTAATGTGCATGTGTGTCTTTGTGTGTATACACCTTAGGTATGCGGGTGCCATCAGAGACCAGAAAAGTACATTGGATCCTCTGGAACTAGAGCTGGGGTGGTTGTGAGCCACCTGAGGTCAGTGCTGAGAACCGAACCCAGGTCCTCTAGAAGAGCAGCAGGTGCTCTAACTCTCCAAGCCTTCCGTAAAATCTTTAAGGGAGCAGTGGGGATTAAAGTCAGGCTCTCATACATTGCTAGGCACGTGCTGAACCACACAGCCACATTCCCAGAGCAGCATTGTATAATTTAATAGAAGAAAAGGATGAAAAAGAATAGCATCCAAGGGAAGTGAAAAGAATGACCCACAGATCTGGAAAGGGCTGGTGGTTTCTGTTAGTGCTGTGTGGAACATGATCTCATGATCTGCTGTCAATTTTCCTTTCCTTTTTTTTTTTTTTGAGACTTGATCTGTGTAGTTCTGGCTGGTCTACAACTCATTGTGTAGACCAGGCTGGCCTGGGACTCAGAGCTCCGCCTGCCCCTGCCTCCCGAGTGCTGGGATCAAAGCCGTGTGCCACCGCCTCCCTGCCAGAGGTTGCGCTACATGACAACCCTGGAAACACTTGTCCCTCCAGGGCATCGTCTCTGAGTCAAGCGATGGTGAGAGATGTTTCGCAAAGGCAAGAAACGGCACAGCAGCAGCAGTTCCCAGAGCAGTGAAGTCAGCACAAAGAGCAAGGTAGGGGAGTGGGGGGGGGGGGGGGGGGACGACAGAGAGCGCTGAGGACAGCGCTCCAGGGCAGGGGCGCAGAGCTCTGCGCACTGCGCTGGCCAGCCATGCTAGGCCCCGGTCTCCCTTCACTTCACCTGGCACTCGGGGCTTGCCCTACGTTTATTATTTTGGTAATTTTCTGAAATTCTTAAATCCACTCAACTAAATGGGACTAAAGTTATGAGTGGTCTCACTAAAACACACCGATTTAACATTAAAAAAAATCTGTCTTAAACTTTGTGTCTGAGGGATTGAGGTGCATGTGTGCCTCAGCACATGCGTGGAGGTCAGACGGAAAACTGGCAGGGGCTGGTTCTAGGGCTCATCTTTTTCTTTTTTTTTTATTCTATTTATTTATTAATTATTAAGTATACAGTGTTCTGCCTGCACACCAGAAGAGGGCACTAGATCTCATTACAGATGGTTGTGAGCCACCATGTGGGTGCTGGGACTTGAACTCAGGACCTCTGGAAGAGCAGCCAGTGCTCTTAACCTCTGAGCCACCTCTCCAGTCCTCTAGGTCTCATCTTAGTGAGGGTTCCCATTGCTGTGAAGAGACACCATGGCCACGGCAACTCTTATGAAGGAAAACATTTCATTGGAGCTGGCTTACAGTCCAGAGGTTTAGCCCACTATCATCATGACGGCATGCAGGCAGACATGGTGCTGGAGAGGGAGCTGAGAGCTCTACATCTGGAGCTGCGGTAACAGGAAGTGAACTGTGCAGTTTGAGCACATGAGACCTCAAAGCCCACCTCCACAGTGACACACTTCCTCCAACAAGGCCACGCCTCCTAACAGTGCCACTCCCTATGGGCCTGGCACTCAAACATGTGACTGCATGGGGGCCATCCCTGCTCAAATCACCACAGCTTCCACCATGTGTATTGTGGGGATTGAACTCACCTCGTTGGGCGTGGGCAACAAGTGCCCTTACCCCAGTGACCCATCTGCAGCCTCTTTTCTCTCCTTCTCCCTCAGATAGGGTCTCAGGTAGCTCAGACTGACCTCAAACTCACAGCAAGGAGTCCTGTAGCACAGCCTTCATCTCCTGATTCTTCACCTCCATTTGCTGGCGTTACAGGCATGGGCCACCATGCTTGGTTCTCAACATTTTTTATTTCATTGAATTTTAAAGATTTATTTCATTTTCAGTTATCTGTACATGTATGGGGGTGGGCTATGTAGGTGACTGGGGCTGCCTACAAAGTCTAAAAGGCGGCACTGGAACCCAGAAAGAGAGTTAAGGTGGGTTCTGAGTTGCTGTGGGTGCCGGGAACTGAACTCAGGTCCTCTAGAAGAGCTGTACTGTTTCAGCAATCCATAAAATATTATTTTTAAATGATAGAAAATACAGGCATGGAGGGGTGAGGTCTCTCAGAGTCTAGGGTTTATGTGCTTAACGGCATTTCCCTCACAGGACTGGTTAAGCTCCATGTACCAGACTGACTGGCAGTTCCAGTGGATTTATGGAACACTCACCTTCTAAGTCAGGGCTTTCCCAGAATGCCTTTTCTACAGAAAGGAACAGCACCGACAATGGAGTCCTGTGAATTAACTGCATGGTTTTAATTTTTGCCATCAGTTTTGTTGTCCTGTTCACAAGGCCTGCCATGCTGAGATCCAGAAAGTAGAGTAATTGCAGAGGGCCGAAGTAGGAACAGGGAGACTTACTCGGTTTCCTCTCTGTGTCAGACAGGGACATTGGTTTCTGGCTGGCTTTCTGCACAGGGTTGTTCTGAGGTTCCATGGGGTTCACAAAGGCTAAGAGTATAAGGCAGAGTAAGTGGGGAGCTAATGGCTAAGCCTTAGATTGAAGATGCTGACATCACGTGTAGCTTTTGAAATTTGCTGTGAAAAATGTCTTCGGCTGTTGTCAGTTCAGATACTGTGTCAGCTCAGCTTAACGAGTAATTAGCATCAGAGACATACGTCTTACTGTGTTTCTTCTCAGTCTGTGGATTCCAGCCTTGGGGGGCTTTCGAGATCCAGCACCGTTGCCAGCCTTGATACCGATTCCACCAAAAGCTCAGGTATGAGGGAACAGATGACTTGGTGACTGATCTGTGTTTACTCTCATGGTCTTGTGTGGCAGAGCAAGGCCTCCTGCCCTGGTTTTTCTCCCTCTCCTCTGCCACTTCTCTGAGGTTCAGGAACTTGGTAAGACAGGTGAAAGTGTTGTGTGATAGGACTTTGCCAAAGGCACTTAGGCAAAGTGTTCTCAGTGGATCTGAGAGCGAGTATTCGAAACCATCCATGACAAGGACTTAGCTTTCTAATAGGTAGCTGGGACTGAGCTGGGCTTAAATGGTTTTAGGAGTGGGGCAAATATGTTAGTGGGACAGGGTTTAGGAATCATTAACCTTGCCAGGTGGTGAGCCTTTGACCCCAGCACTCAGAGATAGAGATAGGGATCTCTGTGAGTTTGAGGCCAGGACAGCCAGGGCTGCACAGAGAAACCCTGTCTCAAAAAACAAGAACGAAAAAGGAACCATTCATCTTAAGGGCTGCTTCCAGACACCCTAGTTGAGATGACAGAGGACACACAGGTAATGAGGACGTGTGTCCCAGACATGTGCCGTTACACAACCACCTGAAACTGGTGACGCCTTAGAAACTAGGAGACTCCTAACGGAGCTCTATAAATAGCTGGTAATTGGAAATACACTGCATTCATTTTCTTTTTACCTAAAATGACATTGCCACATAAAATTCATTATCTTTACCTCCAGGTATTAAAAGGTTGGCATCTTTTTTTTCATGCACCAACAGTGTAAAAGTAATTGTATTGTACTTCCTTAGCATGGCAGGTGTCGGGAGTGGTTTGAGGCAGTTTCTGAACTGGCTGGATTTTGTTGCCATCTGTTAAGGGACTTCTGACATATTAAGAAAAAGAAGTTGGTATTTCTGACTGAACGATAGAACAGGTGTCCTGAATCATGAAATCAAGTGAAAGGAACCAAAAGTCGTAGTAATGTATCATAAAGGTGCCATTCATCCTCTTGTTGGCTTTTAAGTTTTGCTTATGTTGAAATGAAGGTCACCAGTGTTCGTTTGCCCCTCTCAATGAGGCCTTTATACATCTGGTGTAGTTAGCCCTGAGGAACAGCTCAGTACGTTCCTCTCTATTTTATCAAGAAATCTTTCATCTAGAAACTTGTAACTAAGAAGCTGGGTGTGGAACCAGGCATGGTAGTGCTCACCTTTAATCCCAGTGTTTACAGGCAGGTGGATCTCTACAAGCTTGAGGTCATCTTGGTCTACATAGTAAGTTCCAGGCTAGCCAGAGCTAGATGGTAAGACTCTGCTTCAAACCAGCAAAAAAAAAAAAAAAAAAAAAAAAAGAAAGAAAGAGGGAGGGAGGGAGGGAAGGACAGAGAGAGGGAGGGAGGGAGGGAGGGAGGGAGGAAGGAAGGAAGGAAAAGAAACAAAGAAAGCTGACGTGGTGGAGTATGCCTTTAATCTTGGTGCTGTGAGAGGCTGGCACGGGTAGCTTCTGTGCTTCCAAGCCATCCTGGCAAACAGAGAGTTTGTTTCAAAATGAAATGGACTCGGGATGGTGGAGAGGTTAAGAGTACTGGCTACTCTTGCAGAGGGCACTTGAAATAAAATTAAATCTCTTAAAAATGTTCTGTAAAGTAGGCACTGCTTTTCAAGTCTTTTTTTTTTTTTTTTTTTTTTTTTTTGGTTTTACGAGACAGGGTTTCTCTGTATTGTTTTGGAGGCTGTCGGTCCAGCCTGGCCTCAAACTCACAGAGATCCGCCTGCCTCTGCCTCCCGAGTGCTGGGATTAAAGGTGTGCGCCACCACCGCCCGGCTTCAAGTCTATTTTTATCTTAGGACAAAGCAACAATTTAGATACCTGTGCTGAGTTTCGAATAAAGTATGTTGGTGCCATCGAGAAACTGGACCTGTCTCAGGGGAAGAGTCTCCAAGGACCACTAGACCTGATAAATTATATAGATGTTGCCCAGGTAAGTGACAGATCAAAACCTGATTCCAATTGAAGCCTCTGGCTGTGATGGTGCTGAATGTACGGTCGTGAAGGAAATGTTTCTCTTGGGTCCCCTGCAAGGTACTTACCATCTTTGGCTGAAGCCTGCATCCCATCCTGGGACAGCACTGAGTCCAAGGTGCCCTGGAGAGGGAGTCTCATAGGAGAGTTTCTTTATCCAGGCATGGAACTTTTACTTTTACTGGTCTCCTGAAGAACTTACTGCATTCACAGCTTAGATAGTAGATTCTTCTATAACAATCTGTCAAGCTTACTCTGCTGAACTGGTTCCACTGGTTTAAAAACTCATGACGTGGGCCAAAAATATCTTCTGTTTTTGTGTTGTTGTTTTCCAGACAGGGTTACTCTATGTATCCCTGGTTGTCCTGGAACTCTAGACCAGGATGGTCTTGAATTCACAGAGATCCACCTGCCTCTGTCTCCTGAATACTGGGATTAAAGGCATGCGCCAGTATTGCCCAGTTTATATCTCTTTTTTTTTTTAAGGTTTATTTATTACGTATACAGTGCTCTGCCGGCCAGAAGAAGGCACCATATCTCATTACAGATGATTGTGAGCCACCATGTGGTTTCTGGGAATTGAACTCAGGACCTCTGGAAGAATAGCCAGTGCTCTTAACCTCTGAGCCACCTCTCCAGCCTGTATCTCCCCCCCTTTTTTTAATACTTCATTTCCAACAATAATTAAGGTGAGAGGGGCTTCAAAAATATACTCAGGTCATGAAAATAAAATAAAATAAAAATCATTTGGGGTCTGGAGAGGTATCTTGGTGGTTAAGAGCACTGGCTGCTCCTGCAGAGGACCCAGGTTCTGTTCCCAGGACCAAGATGGCAGCTCAGAGCCACCCATAACCACAGCTCCAGAGGAACAACCCTTTCTTCTGGCTTCCTCAGGCGCTGCATGCTCATGCGCACACACGTACATGCAGGCAAAACAGCCACACACATTAAAATGCATGTGTATCTTATAAAAATCTACATGTAGAAAAAACGAAGATAATGCCATACTGTTTGTAAAATTGTAAGACCTCTACATTTACCTAACACTTCAGGAGGGCCTCTGTGAGTTCATGGCTATCGTGGTTCATATAGTAAGAGCCCCAGAACAGCCAGGACAACATAGAGAACCCAAAGTGTCTCAAGTCATGGCGACTGGGAGTATTAGACATGACTCTTATATTTATGACCACAAAGGAAGTTACTTAGAAAGAAAGTTAGTGAGTCTAATTTGCAATTTAGTAGAACTTTTGGTAGAGCCTGTTATCCCTGCATGTAGCTTGGAATATGGTCAGTCAAACCAAGTATAAGTGTTACATGGAAAAATGTTCAAAATTATATGTGTAAGAATGACCTAATTATTCATCCACCACAGAGCTTCTGTTTGATAAAGTGGCATTATTGACAGGACCATTATTTTGCATCTTAGATCTGTAAGAAATGATTGGCAGGGTGTTCCTAATACCGGGAGGGCCAAGGACTGATGCTTCTGGCCATGGCTCATTACTGTAATTCATCATTCCACAAAAACATTTACAATGCAGAACACCTATTATCTGCCAGTAATGTATTTCTTGAGAGAAGACAAATTAAGCAACATTCTCAGGTAGATGAGATAGGCTGATCCGCTTGGAGTGGACTATGATTAGTTAGCTATCACCCACTATTTTGTTTCTGAACAGCTCAGACTGCTGATAGATGGTTTTATGAGCGTAGTGGAGTTGACTCACCAACAGCTTGTCTTCCTGAGCCTTGGGATCTGTAGTTAGTAAGATGTATCTCAGCTGTCAGACAGAAAATGACCGTGAGAAGGATGGCGCCTGCTACCCAGCCTCCTGTTTGCTTCCTGTCCTGACACAAAGATAAACTTTGAGGACTTGTAAATTTTGCTTGTTTTGAGCCAAGGAACATAGTCTTGGCTGTCCTAACTACAGACCAGGCTGGCCTCAAACTCACGAGATCCTCCTGCCTCTGCTCCTGAGTGCTGGGACTGAAAGCTTGTGTGAACACACCTGGCTCAGTAGTGTAAATATTTTGGCGTCACCAAGGTCTGTGGCTGGGATCTCCATTTGTCATTAGGGTTCACATCACAGAAAGACAGAACAGCACATGGGAGAGGATCGATGTGAATTTGGGGAAGCCGATTGTGTAGACGGAGTCTAAAGGGTCCGAGGCTGTGATAACCAGGAACCAGAAGCAACCAATTAACTCAGGACGATCTGTCATTTTAACGTGTGTGCTGTGCACTTTACAGCAAGATGGAAAGTTGCCTTTTGTTCCCCTGGAGGAGGAGTTTATTCTGGGCGTTTCCAAGTATGGCATAAAAGTCTCAACCACAGATCAGCATGTAAGTACATTCTAGGATATCTGGAGCCCCAGCCTTTCAGGGTGCACTTGGACTTGGGTCTCCTGTGTCCTAGGTGGTGGCTGGTGTTAAGCTGTGCCTGTTTCTTTGGGTCAACAGGGCCTTCTTGGTATTTCCCACATACATGTGGGCCCCCAGTGTTTCATGTAGGGTCCCCCTGTCATCTGAAAGTAGCTGATGGTTTGCGTGGAGGCCAGGCAGAGATGAGGACAGTTTAGATGACTTTGTTCCTATTTCTCTGGTTTAAACAAGAAAGTGTGGTCCTGAAAGCAAGCCACCCCCATACCTAGGTACACCAGTGCACACTCTGCACGGAACTAGGAACTGGCAGCTCTGTCCCCGCTTTCTAAAGGTCTCGTGGTCTCCACAGGGCGTTCTCCATAGGCATGCCCTGTATCTAATCATCCGGATGGTGTGCTATGACGATGGCCTGGGAGCGGGCAAGAGCTTGCTGGCACTCAAGACCACAGATGCAAGCAATGAAGAATACAGCCTGTGGGTTTACCAGTGTAACAGCCTGGTGAGACACCTTGGTTTGCTCCCGTTCAACAGGTGAAATGGTGACTTGGACTCTCCCACAGCTTCCAAAGGCTGAAGAAATGTTACCTCCACTGGCAGTCCTCAGAATGAATAAGCGCTGGGTCAGCCACTATTCAGGCAGGCTGGGAACAGCTCCTGCCAAGTGACACTGATCCGGGCTGGGTCAGAGCTCGCTCCCTCCACTCCTGGGCTGCCATCTTCTCAGGCTCAGGGCATGGGGCCAGCCAATACTGTCTGCCCATCTCAAGACCGCTCGGCTGCGGCTGGGCAGGTACTGATGTGTAGGTTTTTGGGGGCGGACGGGGAACAATGTGAGGTAGTCTGGTCAAGTTCCCGAGAGATGTATCATCTCTGTTCTCACTATCTTTTTGTCCATTAGCTCCTTGAGAATCCCGCACAATGTGCTTTGGTCCTATTCGCAACATTGTATCTCTCTGTACAATGCAGGAGCAAGCGCAAGCCATCTGCAAGGTCTTATCCACAGCGTTTGACTCGGTGTTGACATCAGACAAGTCCTGAACTCTGCAGTCAAGCGGAAACTGACCCATCTGAGAACTTACCTGGTCCTACATCTTTCTGCTTTCCATTTGCAGCTGTGAACTATTAAAGGGTGTAAGCTCCCCCACCCCAGTTTTCTAAAGAAAAGTAATGTGTAAAATATCGGTTGTCATTAAAAGGCGTTAACAGTGGGTTAACATCCAATAAGTTACCTACTTTCTGGGCTAAAAAGAAACTTTGGGGCTGGATAGATGGCTTAGGAGTTAAGAGCACTTGCAGAAGACTTGGGTTCAGTTCTCAGCACCAAGTTTTGGTGGCTCAAAACTGCCTGTAATTCCAGTTCCAGGAGAGCAGACTCCCCCTTCTAGCTTCCTCAGGTACCAGTCATATATGTGGCGTGCATACATACATGCAGCCACTCACACATGTACATAATAAAACCTAAAAAAGAAAAAAAGATAAAGAACCCTCTCTTGTCTTTTTAAAATACAAACAAGCCTAATTAATACCAATGTGTCATAGAAGTTCACTAGGAATGAGACTTGCACCCTGTACCTTCCCAGGGACCTGGGGTCACTTGCATGGAAATCTGGGTTTGGGCAGGCATAGGTTTGAACTGGGGGAGCCTCAGCAGCATCAGGGCAAAAAGCACCCCCAACAGAAGGGGCCTGTCTACATAATATCCAGCACATCAGTGTCTACCTTAGAATGAGGCGAACCTTGGAGGAGTCTGCTGGTTTCTGCAAGTTTTTTTTAAAAGGACCTCATGGTTCATACCCTCTCTGTCGCGTGCCAACAGCCAACACTTGAAAGATGAAACCATGTCCATTTAAAAGTACTTTATTTTCTTTTTCCAGTCAAATGACTGGTTAACGGGAAGTCAATTTATTAAACATGCTCTAATTATAAATCACTGCATTAAGGACAATGAAAATATCCGTTTAGGTTATACAGTATATACAGTTGCGCTGCAACTAGACCAAAGTAATCAAGTGAATGAACTGAATATCATACATCTCAAGATAGCATCCTAGACCGCAGGTCACTCTCCACCCTCAACAGCAACTAGACCAAGTAATCAAGTGAATGAATTGGATATCATACATTTCAAGATAGCATCCTAGACCGCAGGTCACTCTTCACCCTCAACAGACCACACTGGTCTGTGCATCATGTTTCTGAGTCATCTTCCCCCCAAGTCAGACCTGATGGAAAGTGGCAAAAAAAGAAAAAAGTCTGAATTCCACAGCTGACACTTGTGAAATGTAAACTTTAAATATAAATAGATATCTACAATGTTTTCCTTTGAGTTACTTTTTCTTCTCAATTTGCAAAGAGCAAATAACTAAGAGAGAGGATAATTAGGAGGAAAGTCAACAGAATTTCTCTTCTGGTAAAAAGCACTGTCCGTTACCGCACAATAGCACCACCAGAAAGTGGAAAAAATATTTCCTAGGCATTTAAGTACCAGTGAGCCCCATAAGTTAGCTTGGGACTGGAGTTCAAATGTTGACACGAATCAACTCGATTCCTCCGAGATCTGGCACCCGGTCAGCAATGACCGATGGTGCAGATAGACGTGGGGGGGCCGGGGGGGGGGCACTATAAGAGAGGTACTGGGAAGTGCAATGTGCAAAATGCGTCTGTTCAAGCCTTACGTGTACGAGAAGTGACTGGGAGAAGGGCTCAAATGGTAGAAATTAACAAGTAGTGAAATATAACGAGTAGTGTTGAGGAAGAGGGGAAGGGGCTGGGGAGGGAGAGAAAGAGACAGACTTTTAATTACAGATCTAACACTTTTTTTTTTTTTACCCAGAGTCAGAAAGGCAGGTGACAATCCCGATAGCGTCATAAAACATTCCAGTTTGTCCTGTTACCTTGGAAACCGAGGGAAGCTCCATGCTTATAAGAGCCTTCACAAAGAGTAAAGACTGGGCTATTTCAGCCAAGTGTGCCAGCGACAGCGTCACTGCCTTGTTGCCAGGCTTACACTTCAATCCGTTCCTTTCGCTCAAACTCCAGTTTCTTTTCACACCCTATGCTTGCCTCTTCGTCCCGGAAAAGTGACAGAATTTCCCATATCTCATACTATGACTTTTATGCTTAGTTATTAAACAGAGGTTATGACAGTTAAGTTCATGAAACTAATGAATTTCGACTTTTATCAAATACAACCTAGTTCCCCTCCCCCACCCCACATATTGTTAAGTTTAAAAGTGATGTGATGGCCTTACGTAGTGTAACTGGGACATTTGGGGGTACTGGGCTCCCCAGGCTCTACAGATTTCTGATATGCTCTTGAATACAAACATCTGGACAGGCTAAATTTCAAGACAGTGTAGCTGTCATTCCTTTTGGAGAATCCTATTAAAGACAAGACACTAAGCTGAGCGGGCGTCCTTGGAAGCCGGGAGGGAGGCAGTAAAGGACACAGTGGGGAATGTGTACCGTGGTCTGCACCACGTCGCCTACTTGTGTATAGCTGCTTTCTGCAAGACGGGGAACGTCGAGGGAGGCAAATCCTAAACACCTAGGGCATACCAACTAGTTTAAAGAGCTGTTTTGCAATCCATCGTCCTTAGTTTGCAACCAAATTCAGGAACTGCAGTTGACGGAACACTGGTGCAGAACAGACTCCTGATTGCTATGCCGTAATAACTCACCAGTAGTGTGCCAGGGACGATTGTTCACAACAACGGGTCATACATACATGCAGGAGAGCATGGCAGCTGCCACCTCATAGGCCAGGGCCCACAAGAGTACCAGGCTAGCATGTAAACTGCCAAGTTGCTTTAGACACTGCTGAGTTTCAACGGAATATATGTCTTAAAGGTGAATGGATGGCATTTGAGGACAAGGTTCAGGGTAGAGCCACAGACTGAAGCCGCGTGGGCTGGCCTGCTACACTGGCTTACTAACGTTAACCGAGGTCAAAACTGGGGTAAGGAAAACTGTAAGAATTCCCCAAACTTGTTTTAAGCATTTTTAGGCTCAGCAAGTCCTGGAAATGCAGGATCCTGGGTCTATAGTTAAGATGGCCTTTTGCTCCCCCCCCCTTTAGGAAATTCCTCTTTTCCTAGTAAAAGAACAGCAATGTGGGGCAAAAACCACAACTTATAAAAAGAATCTGTTTATGTATGTAAAAACTGCCTTTGAGTTTTCGGAACAGAACGGGTACTAGGAGAAGATGGGCTGCCATTCAGCACGATCCGTCAGACTGGCTACAGCTAGCCTTGGTACCAGTAACAGAATGGAACGTGATGGGGACGGAAAGGCCTTTGTTCAGTAGCAAGTTAGTCAGCAATAAAGTGCACAAACGAAACGGGGAACGCTCCTTTGCGGCTGGGGTCTCCGTCGATGTGTCCAATCTGAAAGGAGCAAGTTCGGGTTATAAACATTACAAGCTCAGGGGCAACACAATGTCTGTTTGTTCGGAGGACTTTCTTCTGCCAAAGAGTGACAGGAAACCAGCTATGCCGTTTCTCCTCTTTCCTTCCTGCCTGTGCTTTCCCTCAGAGGAGCTCAGATGTTGCCTCTGAGGCCCAGCAACATGGAAGACACCAGGGCAGCCATCTGGATACACTGCCCCCTTAGTACATGAATGAAGAAACTACCCAAAGTCATAAGACTTGGCAAAAGTATGATGTGGCTCCAATCATATTTCATCTGGCTCAAACAAATTCAATCTGGGTAAATAACACAAATTATACCCATGTATAAGCTCAACCATGGTCTGATATTAGCAAATAAAATTCCAAAGGTAAAACTGGCAAACTAAACCTTTTTTTTTTTTTGCCTCCCCAAATTGCCCACTAAGAACTCTGGGTTCTCCAGAAGGGAGAACTCTGCAGTCATGGCTCACATTTACTTCTTTTGTGCCTGTCTGGATTTTCTATACTTTTGGAAACAGGTATCTTCCATATGGCTAAGCCTGTGACAGGTTGGAGTTCATCCATAACAGGGTGAACGACAGTGTGACTCCAACTCTGCTTCCTAATGGTGGGTGCTGTAAATGGAGGGCAAGGTCAGGCTCCCAGCCATGCACAGGGAGTTCCTCAGCAAGTAGGAGGAGGAGGAGGAGTCTCTCAGAGCTGTGGTACTGAGGACAGTGATGGGAATGGGTATCTTCCCTTAGTTGCTTCACCGTGACAGCAACTGTGCCAACAGGGGTGCTGCAAGGTTGGGCTACAGACCCACCAGAGAATCTGGGGGTCAGGTTGCATAAGAGGAGCTTGCAGAAGGGGCAGCTACAGATGGATCGGGCCGACAAGCAAAGCGGCTCCCCAAGTTCCAAGGAACCTTCTGAAATACTTGGTATCTGAGCTTTGTCTACAGGGCAGGGCCCTGAGTGCCCACTAGGTGGCAGTCCATGCTGAGGGCTTGCTATGTAGACTCCATTCCACTGGTTTATTCCTACACCCACATCCCCAATCCAGCACCCAGCTCATCCCTGCTGTTCCTGCAAAGTCATCTCTGCAGCAGCGCTGCGGACGACTTCCTTTCCGAGATGATGTCAGCCAGGTATATAGATCTAAGCACCTGCTGCCCAGGTCCTCAGCCTGCTTGAGTCTGAACTATAAGGGTTTCTGAGACACTTTTACCAGCTGGATGCTGAGCAGCAGCGTACAGCTTGTGTCGGGATCAAGTGACGCACGAGGACTCTCCCCTGGGGACCAACTCTCCTTGCTCCACACATTGGCAGTGGAGGGATGTGTGTGGAAACTCAGTTCGGGTCAAGGGTGCTCCAGAAATGGAGCCCAAGGATCCTGTCCGTTATAATAGTGAGGTGCTCACCTAAGGCCCACCCAGAGGGTGCTGCTCACCCAGGAGACACCAGAGGATGTCGAAGGCACTGCACGCTAACCTGGCAAAAGCACCGGACCCAACTGCCTGGCCCGGGAGTTTCCCTTGTGCACGCCCCCGCGCCCCGCCCCGACTCACCCACCACTCCTGATCTTCTTCCCCATCCACGATGATCACGTCTCCCTCAGAGAAAGTCAGCTCATCCGGGTTGTCGGCCACGCAGTTGTAGAGCGCTTTGACTCTCTTGGGCTTGGACTTGGTCTGCACCAGAAGGGGGAGGGGCACGGTGAGTGTGGCAGGAAGCCAAGGTTCTGGGTAGAGAAGGGGCCTCTTGTCTTCTGCTTGCCTCATGAGCCAAGTGCCCGGGCTGGGAAACCCACAGGAGTCA